ACTGATAACACTGTTTTACATACTTGGAACTCTGAACTACACTGTACCAATTTGTCTAGATAGTCTATAAATAATGTGATTCATGGTGAGCACCTGCTTTTCTTCTGGTGCTCTGTTCTGGTAATTGCAAATCAATCATGAAGGCACTCTGTTTCTATATAACTAAAATCCAACAAAAGCTCTGGAATCTTAAGACACAAGTGAGATCCCCAGTAGAATACACTTCATAGATGTTGCTACCATTTGTAGATGGAGAAATTAAGTGTACCTCATGCAATTCCACTGGAAAAGGACATTTAGAATCTTGTGTCTGGTTTCCTACAGATTTTGCCCTACATGGCCATTTCATTTGCTAATTTTCCTTTCTTCCTTTTTCTGTAATAAACAAAAACTATTACTTCTACAAGTCATGGAGGTAGTCTTTGGTATCTTCATCACAGGTACACTAGGAAATAACTAACATACAAGAAAGCAGAATGGATATAAAAATACATACAGAAAAGAAACACCAAAAGGAAAGATGTAAATCCTACCTTATCAGTAATTATATTAAATGTAAATGGAAGCATAGCAGCAGATTTCTCAACAAAGCAAAGCAAAAACAACAGGGAAGCAAGAATGAAAGTGCATTGTTTGCAGGGCATGGTGGCCCACGCCTGTAATCCCAGGAGGCTGAGGCAGGAGGACTGCTGTGAGTTTAAGACCAGCCTGGGCTACATAGTGAGTTCCAGTTCAGTCTCAACTACATAGTGAGACCCTGTCTCAAAAAACAACAAAAAAAGAAAGTACATTGTTTGATTTCTTATAAGTGGACTGTGGTAAATTAAAGGTATATACCATAAAGCTTAAAGGAGCCTTTAAAAGAACAAAACATTATACTTAATAAGCCATCCATAGATAAAAATGGAATGATACATAATCTAAATGAAGGAAGCAAAAGAGGAAAGCGCATGAAAAACAAGCAGAAGACAAATAGCCAGATAGGAGATTTAAAAGCAATCATAATAATAATCCCATTAACGCAAATGGTCTCAACATCCCCAGAAAAAGTCAGAAAGCCAGGTGTGATGAATCATGCCTGTAATCCCACCTATTTAGCAACCTGAGGGAGAAGACCTGGTTGGGCAACATAGCAAGAACCTGTCTCATACATAAACAATACCAGATAGAGTCTGTCAAACTGAATGAAAAAGCAAGACCTAACTATCGGTTGCCTACAAGAAACACAAATGAAATATAAAAACACAAATAGGTTAAAAGTAAAAAAGATGGAGAAAGATACGCCATGCTGATACTATTCAAAAGAAAGCTATTTCTATAATAACATCAATCAAAGCAGATTTCAGAACAAAGACTAATAACCGTGATAAAGAGGAGGATGGACATCCTGCACCAAGAGTCAAGTCATCAAGGGCACAAAATTCTAAAAACATATGCACCTAACAACAGAGACTCAAAATACATGAAGTAAAACCTAATAGAACAAAAGGAGAAACAAATACAAAATGTTGGTCCAAGATTTCAATATCCCTGTCCCAATAACAAATAGAACAGTAGACAGAAATTCAGTAAAGAAATGGAAGACGTGAATAACTGTCAGCCATATTCACCTAATTGATATTTATAGAACATTCCATGCAGCAATGCAGGATATACATATTTTTCAATCACACACAGAAAATTTACCAAGTGAAACCTTATTCTAAGACATAAAACAAGTCTCAATAAATTTCAAAGGATTAAAATAATAGACTGTATATTCTTTCACCATAATGAAATTAGGAAGCAATAACAAAAAGAAATCTAGAAAATTCTATAAATATTAGGAAATTAAATGACATACTTTTAAAATAACTCTGGGCTAGGAATTTTGCAAAGGGGAAGGGGAACAAGAGATGGAGGAATCTCTGTACCAAAAAAAAAAGAAAAAAAAAGATGGAGGGAGAGGGGAAGAAGAACAGAGAGGAAGGGAATAAAAAAGGAATTAAGATATGTTATATAATTGTACCAAACCCCACAGTAACTGCAATCATTATGTACTGCAAAAATGTACTAGTAAAACAAGAAAAAACAAATAGATTGAATGAGATGGTCCAAAATAAGAAAAGAAAGAAAAATAAAACAAAGAGATGAAGGCACTTTTTTGTTGTTATTTGTTTGGTTTTGGTTTTTTTTTCCTAGTATCAGGGATCAAACTCAGGATTTTTTGCTTGCCAGGCAGGCGTGGGATGAAGGCTCTTTTAATAGAAATAAATAAATACATAATTCTGGGTTAAGAAATAAAAAAGGAAATGAGAAGTATTTTTTCCTGAATGAAAATGAAAACACAACATATCAAAAATTTATAATAGATTGCTAAATCAATCTTCATAGGAAAACTTATATTGCTAAATAAGTATTACAAAAGAAATGTCTGAAAGAAAAATGTGGTCCTCAGACAAGTAACATCAACACTGCCTGGAAATTTGTTGGAAATTTAAATCCTCAGATTTTAACCCAGGCCTATTAAATTGGAGACTCCCAGGTGGGGCCCACAATCTGTGGCTTATAAGTGATTCTGATATACATTCAAGTTTTGAGATATGTATGTATATACATATATAGTGTGTGTGTGTGTGCGTGTGTGTGCACGTTTTTTTTAGATGTTTTCTATTTTGTTTTGCAGTGCTATGAATTGAACCCAAGGCCTTGCACATAACAGGTAAATGCTATATACTGACCTAATCTCCACCTTTTAAAATTTTGTTTTGCGACATGATTTTGCTAAGTTTCACAGTCCAGCTTCAAAATTTAAATGCCCCTGCTTCAGTTTCCTGAAGAGCTGTGGTTGTAGGTGTGTGCCACAACACTCTATTTGACAGTTTTTCTTTTCATTTTTTTTCAGCTTTAATTGAGTTTATTGGTACATTTTAGGGATACAGTACAGTTACATTCATTTTTGGTTCTCATTTTTTCCCTTTACCCCTGCCCTCCCTTCACCCCCTCCTCCCCTCCCCATCTACAAACACTTTATTTTCATCTTTTCATTATCTCACACTTTTTTCTTTTCCCTTATTACCCTTCCCCTACCCATCCCACCTTCCCTACACCTTTAGCTCCTTTCTTCCCATTTCTAAACGTCAGTAATCTTATTAGGATCTTATGTATTATTGCAGATTATTCACATCAGGGAAACTATTCAGTATTTACACATGTGTGACTAATTTATTTCACTTAGGAGTATATCTTCAATATGTATCCATTTTCCTATGAATGAATCTATTTTCTCATTCTTTATGGCTGAGTAATATTCCATTTTGACAGGTTTTTAAGATAAGGCATCTACAATTTATACTACCCTGAAGTTCATGTCAATAAAAACAGTTTTGTTTTCAATAATCTATTAATCTATTAATCAACATTAGAAAATTGCTGTTCATAACCCAACGTGTTCCTATGGCAGGCCAAGTGAACCTCAAGGGTCCACTGTATCTGTTCTTCTCTAGTGTTATGGTTTGGACTTGAAACATCCCCTAAAAACTGACGTAATGGTTCATGGGCTTTTGAGGAAATATCAGTGGAGAATGCCACCTTATTGAATAATTCCTACTTTTTATGAGACTATCCATGTGGGAACCAAATGTGGCCAATTCCCAATCACATTCACTAATCTAAACATGTTAAATCTAAAAAAACCTAATGATATAGAGAACTTGCTTGAAATATGGTTTTATACCTATATTTGAATATACATTTGCCGAATATTCCGGGAAGTCACTTCAAAGAAACTGAATCCCCTATATAAGCACTAATTCAGAAGCACTAACTCTTCTTTCCAACTAATTCAATGCAACAATTAATCTTAAGAAGATTTGGATGCTGCCTCACATACTTCCTGGGACAAGAAAAAGATTTGGCTTTAATTAACTTCAGTTTTGAGCTTGGCATGATGAGGCATACCTATAATCCTAGCACTGGGAGGTTGAAGCGAGAGGACTGCAAGTTTAAGCACAGCCTGAGTAACTTAGCAACTCGGTGAAACTATCTCAAAATAAAAAGTCAACAAAATACTGGGAATGTAGCTCAGTGTGTAGACCCTAGGTTCAATCCCCACTACTTACTATAACCACAACTTTAGTGGCAGCTTCTACTAATCAGGAATAAACAAATTCCACACTGTATCAAAACACAAATGAAATAGGTGATAATTTCAGTAACATGAAAGCAACGTTTGCCATGGAAGAACTGTAATGTAAATAATCCATCCATTAATTTCGGCTAATTATATGACAGTGTTCAAAAATAAAGGGAAACTATAATAAAGTTATCCTCTTATTCCAGGCTCCAAAAGTAAAATATAATCAGTTCTACACCAGGATTCTTTTCTCCCCCCAATCTGCTGACTTTCATTAGCTTTGGTTCTAGGATACAGTCTTTTGCTCTTTTAGGTATTATTGAACAGAGGCCCATAACAGCTGCTTATGGGGCCATGATTGTATAATTAATCAAGTAATGAGCCAGCCCACCTTTGTTAAAATGTTTTATTATCAATGTAAAGTAAGATCAAGGTTTCACAAGCAGATTTTAAAACACAATGATTCATTTCTAAAATGGTGTCTTTCCCTTTGAAAAGCTTAAATAGGACACATATAAATCTTTGGAATATTTTAAAAGAATATACTTTTTCTATTGCAATAAATCTACAGTAGACAGACATGCAAAATAACTAATTTCCAAATCAAGGACCTCTAGCAGAAACAACCAAATTAAAATGAAGTACTTTAATTTACTTATTAGCCATGAAATCTAGAAAGAAATCTTTTCTTTCCCCACCCTTCAGAAAAACCACTACCAATATTTTTCTAGAAGATTGATGGCATTAACAATACTCAGTTCTCTTGCTAGGCATGGTGGTGCACACCTGTAATCCAAGCACTCGGGAGGCTGAGGCAGGAGGATAGCTGTGAGTCCAAGACTAGCCTGGGCTACATAATGAGTTCCAGGTCAGACTCAACCACATAGTGAGAACCTGTCTCAAAAAAACCAAAAAAAACAAAAAAAAACAAAAAAAAACCCAACAATATTCAGCTCTCCTTTGTCAGCATTCAGACATCCTGCTTTAGTCTATATAAATTAATGTTATAGTTCCAGTTACTAAAACTGCCCACCCATTTCCTTTACCATATTATAGTTTGGCAAAGCACCTACCAATAACGTACAGTTTGGTTGGGCTCATGATAAACATAATGTTCTGACTAGAATTAACCATATCCCGGGTCTGTGAAATTAATACATTAAAGAAAATATAAAACCCCCGAAGGCATCCTGTTTCTCTCCTCTCCAAGTTACCAGTAACTAAAGAGTACAGGATGGTTACAATAATCAGATACATGAAACATTCCTAGAACTAAAAGCACACAAAACAAAATGCAAATTATAGGGAGCCAAAGAACTCACTCTTATTTAGATCTTCTTTGTGAATGCAAGTAACCTCCACACTAAAGATCATAAAATAGGGAACGATTTCAATGCACTCAGGGTTCAGCAATTTGTATTAACATATTACTAAAATTTCCATCTTTTCTAAAGATTGTGTGCGTGCTTCACTGTTGAATTTGGTGATAACCATGAAGACATAATTAAATAAAATTAACACACCTTAATTATTTCCTTTTTACTATACCCACTTTAAAACTTAAAAGGCATCTTTACTACATTTTCCATCATTCCTTAAACTAGTAAAACAAATACAAAATCAAAATGTCACTGTCATTTTACATATTTCACTTTTCTTCAATAATTTAGTCCGTTCCAAAGTATTTCTGTCCAAAATGCGTAGGTGCAACAGGATGAACTTCAGTGGTTAAAATTGTGATCTCTGGAAATTCTTGAATGATTGATTTGGCACCTTCAAAAAGTAGAAGAAATATTATTATTATGGCAGAATTTTTGGTAAGACTAGTGGAAATTCAGGAATTTTATAGTCATTGGCATTATACCTAATATTTTATTGTACCTAATACCTATATTGTCAATATACCTAGGATAGAGAGTAATGGCCTTTGGACACTGAGTCAGGCATAGTTAATCTGTTTATTTATGTAATGTCTGATATTTGAAAGACTGATAGTATTTAGAGAATGCCCATGCTCTTTCACTAATAAATTCTTAAAATCAAATTGTTTTACATCCAAGAGTTGAAAATATATTTATACTTGTTATAGTAACCTTCTCCAGAAGTTTTTGTTTCTTTCATTTTGAAGAATTAAATGGTGGGTGGAAAGAATTAATCCAATCCTTTCTACAAAAAAAACATAAATTGAAGGTTTCCCAACTAAAGCACTGTGAAACATATGCAAAGATTTCAAGGGAATGTCAAAGCAAGTTAGCTTTTTAGAAGTAAGGAGTTTAGCTTTTGGAGGAGAGCTACAGGCAGGAAATTAGGACCATCTTATACCCCAGTTAAACTAAAATACCATAGCAAAAGCTGCCAAAGAATAACACTCTTTTTCAGTTACAGTGCCAAACAACAGTGTATTATCCTAATGAATACTATTAGAACTGAAGAGATTACTTTTCCATTCCCAAAGGTGGAGAGTTACTAAATCATCTTAGTATTTTCAATGCTCCCGGTGTCTTATGCACGCGCACACACACACACACACACACACGGTAGCTTGGTTCATGGACTTAATTTGTTCCACAATTCTGGGGAAAATGGCCATATTTGTGTTTGTATAAAAAAGATGGTCATGTCTGTCAACAGATGAAGAGTTCACAAACAAAACAAAACTTTGCCAAATGCTCTGTTTGCAAACCAAATTGTTCACAAAGGCATTCACATATATATATACATATGTATATAGAGATGTACACATACATGTATGTATATATATCACATATATATGGAATGAGTAGGCAAATCACTCTTTGTCACCATTAATCTGAACTACAGATAATTATTGGTTAAAAAAACAACAAAATTATTGAACAGGCCACAATTCCTATGCAACTGCCTACTGAAAAGCAGCCTGCCAAACTAGATAGCCAGTGACTTCTTCAGGGTTGTTTAGGGCTTAGAATGTCGAAATGAAGAAACTCCCTAACTAGAAAAGCCACGTCTATTCTCAATTATGTTTTTTTTTTTTTTTGGTACGGATTGAACTCGGGTCCTTGCGCTTGCAAGGCAGGCCACCAAACCGCTGAGCTAAATCCCCGGCCCGATTCTCAATTATGAAGCAAATATGAATTCACTGTAGAACACTTAGGAGAAAACCTCCCAAAAGCTTAAAGATAAAATGAAAATCACTTAGAATCTTACTGCCCTAAAATATTGTATGTGCATTTTGAAACCAAAATTGAAACAGTATTGTGTATCTGCATAACCTCTCATGCTGAGATAATATTCATTAGGTACTGTATATTAACCCCAATCCTCATTTTGTAGTTAAAAAAGACATAATCTTTATTAGTCATTACTAAACTTTGTGATAATATTTCACAGTATTCTAATACTGCTATTGTTTATACTGTTTTTTATATATTTCTTGATGCCCTTAAATATTTTTCGAAACTACGATTTCAGGATTACATGTTATATCCTCTGAATGTATATTTATTTACCCATTTCCTGGTTAGTCAATTATATACTTTCAATTTTTTTTATACTAGGTAACTCTACAACGAACATCCCAGAAACGAAATTCCTGCATGCATCTATAATTACTTTCTTAGGTTACACCTCCATTTGTCGTAAATTATATGGTAAAAAGCTAGTCTAAAATTAGACACATATCTTAAGGAGAAGACAATTTTCTCACCATGCCCTAAGAGTCAAAGTTTAATTCTAAAAAATGTTGCTGTTAACTCTACTACAAAACTTACTTCAGTTAGATGACAGGTTGTTGGGCTCTCAGTCAAGAGCCAGAAGAAACAAAGATCTTTCAACTATTTCTAGGCCCTACCAGGGATACTAGGAAAAGAATTCCAATTTGTTTAATGAGCTTATTTCATACTTTTTCATTTGAATTTGAATATTACAATGGTGTAAAATAAGTCAGGTATGGTGGCACACACCTGTAGTACAACTACTAGGGAGGTTGAGGCAGATGACTTCAGTGCAGGAGTTCAAGACTAGATAGCAAAACTCCATCTCAAAAAAAAGTGTAAAATATTATCATTAAGCTTAGAGATGACAAACACAAATTATAGGTACCAAAATTAGATTTAGATTTAATATGTAGCTAACTAACCTTTTCCACAGGATGAGAGGATAGACAGAGTCACACTTACCCAGCTCATGACCATGTGGAGCTCCAGTTACTGACTCATGCTGAACTTACCATGAGGAGTGGAGAAGAGACTAAGCAGGATTATAACACTAGGTTGAACTCCATGTTCTATAAGAACCTTTACAGCTTCAATAACAGTATTTCCAGTGCCTGAAAGTCAAGAGACAACATAATGCATCAACAACATTAACATTTTTTCCATTAAGTTTATTGGTACATTCTAGGTATACAATAGTTACATTCATCAGTGGGATCGTATTCATTTACATGATGTATCTTGGCTCTTATTTTTCCCCATTTTCCTGCCCTCCCTTCACTTCCTCCACCCATCCCTATTTAAAAAGACTTTGTTTCCATGTTTTCCTTTTGTAATATTTTTTCCTTTCCCTTCTTTCCTTTCCCCTATGCTTCCCATTTCCCCTACCCCTTTCGACCTTGTCTTCATATTTCACAGCATCATTTATACATTTTGATCCTTATTTACATTTTTAGTTTCTCAGACCAGAGAAACTATTCGGTATTTACATGTGTGTCCTATTTATTTCACTTAGGAGCATGACCTCAGTGTGCATTCATTTAGTTATAAATGTCTCTAGTTTCTTGTTCTTTATAGCTGAGTCATATTCCATTAAACACACACACACACACACACACACACACACACACACACACACACACCTTCTTTATCCAGTCTTCAGTTGATGGGCAACTGGGCTGTTCCCAAGTTTTAGCTATTAAAAACTGTCTGCTATATACATGGGTGCACATATATCACTGTTCTATGATTTTTTTAATTCTTTTGGGAAGATACCCGGCAGAGGAATATCTGGGTCAAATGGGCCCTCCTAGATTTTTGAGCTATCTCCATATTGATTTCCATAGTGGTTGCACCAGTCTGCACTCCCACCAACAGTGGAGAAGGGTTCCTTTCTCCCCACAACCCCACAGAATTTGTTATTAGCTGATGTCTTGATAGCAGCCATTCCTTCTGGGGTGAGGTGGAATCTCAGTGTTGTTTTCATCTGCATCTCTCAAATGACCAGTGATGAGCAACATTAACATTTTAAAATGTCTTTGAAGCCTGGTGTGGTGGTGCATGCCTGTAATCCCAGCACTGGGGAGGCTGAGGCAGAAGGATCACCATGAGTTCAAGGCCAACCTGGGCTACATAGTGAGTTTAACACCAGCCTGAACCGCATAGCGAGACTGTCTCAAAAAAACAAAAACAAATAAATAAATAAATAAAGATGTCTTTGAAGGGCAATACAGTGATCTAACTTAAGATACCATTAGGCAAAACTTCGTTTGAAGGTGTCCTTATTCTTTATTATATTATTTACAATAATGGACGCAACACACAGTTATCAAATGTACAAGTTCTAAGTTAATTTAGTACTTATTTTCCCCCATGTCCCTGGGAGACCATACATGATCTGAGATAGCTTAAGAAAGAGAAAAGAATAACAGAAAAATATTACCTTCCAGAGAAGATAAATCCTCGAGAAAATCATTGCTGTATTCATTAGGGGAAATGTCTAGGGGAAATGTTCCAATACACATTCTGTGTGCTATACATTTTGGCTCTTAAGTCCTCTGCTTTAATATGCTCAGTTCAAAACAGAGCTCTTTGGAGCTAATAAAGTTTGACTAATGTATAGTATGTGCCTTTATTATACAATAAAAATTCCCCAGTGAACTGTTCAGGGTAACTCCAAATCCAACAAATCACATTTAGAAAATTTAGGCACTAAATTGAATTTAAACTCTAACAGAGGGTTACAAACTAAACTCAAGCCACTCACTGAGAATTGGATACATCAGAAGAACTTTTCTCCGGTAGATGTCTGGTGGGAACTTGGCATAATATACTTTGGCTCTTTGTGTCTCCTCATCACTCTGAATTAGGATCTTTCCAATTCGAATGGATCGACAGCAATCTCTTAAGCCTTGTTCCATTGCCTCACCTTGACAAAGGGAATGAAAAGAAAACAAGGAAAAAAAGGGTTAAAGAAGAGAGAGTGAAAGTCCACGAATGGACCAAAGCACAATTCATAACCTTTATTAAGACAAAAAGGACTCAACCAAAAAGGAAGGCATTTTTCTGGAGCTAATAGCTTTCCATCCTGATATATTCATATTTTATTTTTAGTTCAAGTCAATGAAACCAGGTTAAAGGCTGGTCAATGATCCTAAGATAAGCTAGTTTTATTGCTGGTTTAGAATTGTTATAGCTATTTTATTTCCATGATTAAAGAAAATAAAGTGTTTGCTGAGTTGCTCCCTGATCTTTTTCAGTATCAGAAACACTTTTACTATTATTTTATAAGAAGCCTATAAACCACCTCAATTTATCACTTTCATCTAGAAAACATAAAAGATATATGACAGAATATGAGTTGTAAAACAAAGGATTTTGCTTTTTTTTTCCTCCATTAAGTTTATTGGTATATTTTAGGTATACATTACAGTTACATTCATCATTAGGATCTTGTACATTTACAAGATGTATCTTGATTCTTATTTTTTCTCCATACCCCTGCCCTCCCTTCACCCCCTCCACCCTTCCCTATTTAAAAAGATTTTCCACGTTTTTCCTTTTCTCATATTTTTTCTTTCCCCTTCTTTCCTTTACCCTACCCTCCCACCTCCCCTACTCCTTTAGATATTTTCTTCCTATTTCACATTATCAATTATACATTTTGATCCTTACTACACTTTTAGTTTCTCACACCAGAGAAAGTGTTCAGTATTTACACGTGTCCTACTTATTCCACTTAAGAGTATGATCTCAATATGCATCCATTTAGCTATAAATGTCTCTAGCTTGTTGTTCCTTATGGCTGAATAGTAGTCCATTTTATTCACACACACACACACACACACACACACACACACACACACACACGCACACATCTTCTTTATCCAGTCTCCAGTTGATGATCAACTGGGCTGTTTCCAAGTTTTAGCTATTACAAACTGTCCGCTATATACATGGGTGTACATATATCACTGTTCTATGATGATTTTACTTCTTTTGGGAAAATACCCAGCAGAAGAATAGCTGGATCAAATGGGGCTTGTAATCCTAGTTTTTTGAGGTATCTCCATATTGATTTTCACAGTGATTGCACCAGTCTACACTTGCACCAACAATGAAGAAGAGTTCCTTTCTCCCCATAGCCCTGCCAGTATTTATTATTGGTTGATTTCATGATAGCAGCCATTCTTTCTGGGGTGATGTGGAATCTTAGCATTGTTTTCATCTGCATCTCTTGAATGACAAGTGATGTTGAATATTTTTTCATAAGTTTATTTGCTGCTTTTACTTTTTTGTCTGAGAAGTGTCTGTTCAGTTCAGATGCCCATGTTTTAATTGGGTCTTTTTATTTGGGGGTCCTGATTTTTTTGAGTTCTTTATATATTCTAGATAGTAGACCTTTGTCTGAGGAACAGCTGGTAAAAAATTTTTCCTACATTGTAGGCTGTCTCTTAGCTCTGTCAGTGGTTTCTTTTGCAGTACAGAAGCTTTTTAATAAGATGAGATCCCAGTGGTTGATTCTTTGTGCTAATTTCCATGCTACTGAAGATTTGTTCAAAAGTCTCTTCCTATGCCAATGTCTTCGAGAGTTCTATCTAACTTATCTTCCAGCAAGTTTAGTGTTTTAATTTTTTTTTTTTTGAGACAGGGTCTCACTATGTTATTGAGACTGACTGGGAACTCACTATGCAGCCCAGGCTGGTCTCGAACTCACAGACATCCTCCTGCCTCAGCCTCCCGAGTGCTGGGATTACAGGTGTGTACCACCATGCCAGGCCTCTGTTTTAATATTTAGATCTTTAGGATTTCCCTTTAGATCAAGGTAGCATTAGGAGACATCACTTAGCTCATCACTGACTTCACGGGCAGAGGTTTTGCAGTAAACAATGAAAAAGTATTCTTTCTCCCATAGAGTACAGCCTCCCTCTCACCCTGGTTTCTAAATAAAGTTATTTTGGAATATGAATTTTGTTAAGAAAGTATTTGCCAAATGTCAGTCACTATTACATAATATTCAAGATTTTAGGTCCCATCAAATTATACTAGTACTGGAATTGTATTTACTTACTATTTTTCTTGTACTATTTTTCTTTTAATTAATTAATTTTTAAAATACTCTTAATTGAACTCAGGGGTGCTCTACCACTGTGCTTCATCTCTAGCCCTTTTTATTTTATCTATTTAGATTTTGAGACTGAGTCTCACTAAGTTTCCCAGGCTGCCTCAAACTTTGTGTTCCTCTTGCCTCAGCCTCCTGCATGGCTGGAATTAGAGGAAACTTTATAGCACTAGTGTAAACATAAAATTGCATACATATACATGTATGTATGTGTGTGTGTGTGTGTTATATATATATATATATATATATGAAAATCAACATGTAGTTATTAAGGTTGAAAACAATGCTATTGGGGCTGGGGGTATAGCACATGCCAAGGCCTTGGGTTCAAAGTCCAGCACCAAAACAAAGCAAAACATACACCCCCAAAAAATACAAACAAGAACAAAAGAAAACCCAATATCTCTGCGTTACACTTAGTCATCTGGCATACATGAGAAGTGCAAAGACCACACTGTTACCTTTAGGGAAGAAGCTGGATTGAATCCAAAGACACTATCCATGGTTTATCAACATTGTCCCGAGAATGCTATCGCTGCTTAGTGTCTACAAAGTTTGTGTTTTATTTGAGTTATTCAATTGTTCAAACAGAACTTCATAGTCAGAAAAGTGAATGTTTGTATGTTTTTTAAAAATCCATCTGTTTCCAGTAGAAGCAAGTAAAACTTCCACCACTTGTGAAATAAAAGTCAATCTTGTGCAAAATAAAATTGTTTGTTGAATGGAAGTAATTACCCCCATGTAATAGGCACAGATTTTAATTACAGGAATACAATTTTGCTGCACAAAGCTGGTTTAGAAATCTTATCAGTTGGACTCAAACATAAATACAACATTCAGCAAGTGGAAATACCTAGAGCTACAGTGGGCCTTCAAGTTATGACCAGCCTGACATATGAACAACTTGAGTTACAATCAGAATTTTAGTTTTAACTTATGAACCAAGTCTTGAGTTACTACCTGAATTCCAGCTGTCTGTGCTTCCAGATGGTCTCAGATACAGATTTAACTCTTAAAGAGTTCTTGAAGGCACAGTACAACATTTTCCTTGGTTGGGTTAATTGAGAAATCCTGGGCCAATGTCTCTCTAAGGACTCTGAGATCTGCCTGTATACAGAAGAGACTTTGAAGGCTGTGTAGAGGAGCCTGAGCCTTCAATTGACCAACTAGAGTTACAACCAGCCCTTGCAAGTGAACTGAGTTCATAAATCAAGGGTTCAATGTATAATATCAGCTAGGTCTTTTACCTACATGGTTACATACTTATCAAATATAAAATTTAAAATATTGAACAAGGCAGGGCATGGTAGTGCATGTCTTTAATCCCAGCACTCTAGGAGACTGAGGCAGAATGATAAGGTCAAGTCCAGCCTGAGCAACTTAGAAACTTTGTGAGATCCTGTTTCAAAATAAAAAATAAAAGGGCTTAGGGGTGTAGCTCAGTGTGAAAACAATGTGTTTAGTTCCCAGTGCCAGAAAAAAAAAAACATTGAACAGTCCATCTCTTATAGCAGAATATCAGGGTTCCCTGCAACAGATTTAAATACAGAACAAGTATTTTCTCCAGCCAGGAATTCAAAAGTTCTTTGGTCTTCAATTCATGCCATATTTCTTCAGTCTTCAAAATGCCCTCTTCTCTCCATAACTGCATCATGGCATCCTCCTATCCTCCTACCTTCCCCTGAATCTTTTTTTAAAACTGGCATGCTCCTGGGAGCACCACGAGGGAAAATGCTCTGCAGTTAAAATTACTCAAATTTAGCAGCACACAGGCCATGACTCCAAGGCACCATGAGGACAGGCAACACATGTAGTGAGATTTAAGCAAAGGTAAGCTACAATTATAACAGACAAGCCCACTTCTCTCCTGGCAAACAGGAACCGTTTCTATACATTCAAAGAGACAAAAATCACACATATGCAAACCTACCGCTTCTCATTATGCTGACACCACAATTTCCCTTCTCAAATTTTACTCCTTCATACTTGTACCCTGTTGGAAAATAAAATCAATTTATCTTTCATCATTGAAGCAACCCACTTATTCTGTGAAACTCCTGTGATTTAAAGCAGGTAAGTACAAAGCAACCCTTGTCCAGACACATTTCATATTGCCTTAGATTGCCTGAGAAAGTAATGAGGTGAGTCATGCTTTTTCATAGTTATTTAATTTCTCATAAGTAAACTGTGGGGATAATTGGTATTAGTGTGCTTCATTAAATGGGAATAGAACTTAGTATATGATGATATTCACCTACACATTTCTCAAATTGAATTCAAAAGAGAATCGGCACATTCTGAAAATGTTCTATGCCCCATCAATTCAAATGTGGATCCCACTGAAAGCCACAGCAGAAAGCCTCCTCAAGCCATCCCTTTTTATGAGCCTCCATTCTGCTGCCTTAAAAGCAAAAGAGGCTGAAATTGTTATCAAGCTACTCAACCCTCGGTCTCATCCTGAACTGGTGTCAATTATGATGCAACAAGAGTGGCCCATGATTTTTCGTAAAATCAACCCTTTGAATAAGTTTTCATTATTCACCAAAGAATCAAATCAGAATTTCAAATCCCTGAAAAGGGGTTCTTTGGCTATTTTCTATTGGAACAAAACATCTTCCCCTAGTCTCATCCATTTTTAGTTTTCTTTTTATTTGTCATACTTTTTTTTTAAACCTGGAATTTCAATGCCAAACCAGCCACTCCCATTTGTTAACACCAGCAACTTCCCGACAGAGGTGAAGATAGCTGCCACCAATTTTTAACTCTGGTCCTACAAGCTATCATCAAAGGCAACACTGGCATGCTGAAGAATATTTATTAATCTTTAACTTGAACTGGCAAGCAAGTCACAGGAACAGATTTCTTTACTAAATGTCTCAAGAGTTTTTTCTTGGTACATATTTGTGATACATCCTGATTGTATTCATCTTGAAGAACTGGAACCTATCTCTTTCCCATCCCTATCCCTCCTCTTCCCCTTTTCTCATGTCCCTTTTCCATCTCTACAAAGTCTACCTCCTTGTTTCCTAGAGTTTTAAAAAGCTGTTTAAAAGAACAGCTCCCCTAGACTCCTAATTTTGCATGCTGATTTTACTCAAACTGCTTTATATCAATTTTCCCCCATTCAACTCAGATTTTCCATGAGAAAAAATTTGAGAGTAACAGTCCTGGTTACCTGTTGGAGTTGTCACCATACATTCTTTATATGGCAGCTGATTCAATCCCTCTTCCACAACAAGTCTGATCTAGAGAGTCAAAGGAAGAATAAAATAAGGACTTGCTAAGAATCTTCTGCTAGCTGTTAGCCTCAGGAGCTGAACAGTAGGCAGAGTCAACAGCATCCTAAGCAAGGATTAGCTTATGGGTTTAGAAAGGGGGCGCTATTGTGTATCACATGCAGGATAGATCCAAATGCCAAGCTGCTTGACTATAGGTATCCAACCTCCATGAGGTACATGACTGACACCAAAGGGCTCCAGTATGGCTTCTGACTCCTGATCAATTAACTCAAGCTATGAGAGATGCAAAACTCCTGAAAGTGACAAAAGTCATGGCAGGTACCCTTGGTCGTAATATACATGATTGCTCTTGATATAGTGCCCACTGGGACTTTCTCTGCCTTGTTCAGTACATTTGAAATCATTGAGGTGGAATCTTTTTAACAAAAGCCTACTATAATTCAAATACAGCCTGAAAATTCTTGTGAGAAAATAAATGAGTGCAGGGGCTGAATCAATTTGCGAAGACTGAAGGATGATCCTATAGAATGTACTAGGGCCTCCTAGCTAAAAGAAAAGGCTCTCAATAATTATATGTGGTACAGAGAAAAGAATCACATAAAGCTACTATGAATAGCCTCCCAAAACTAAACATGGCATTCCCATGAGTAACCGTTGCCCAGTATAAAAGCAGTGCTGAGCCTGTAATATACATTTTCTCCAATCAACATTACATTACTTATTGAGAATCAGGAACAACAGTGAGAAGCACTAGGCTCCATATTCTGTTATCACAACACAACAACATGGTGCCATCAAAAGGATCAATTATAAGTTGGCAAGTACTTTACCAGCCTACAGAATCAGAGAGGGACAAGAAAATTCATGAATACTACATGCATGTACACACTCACCTCAAGCCACCACCTTCTGTTGAGACTTATGTTTTTTAATGAAGAAGTTACAAGGTAGAAGAGAATTCTTTTCTTTGAAGAGCATGACCTCTTCCTCCTTATAACACTCTTCCAAAGAATCTTGTTCCCTGCCTAACCTCCTGCAACCCTGAGACAGAAATTAGGATGTCCAAGTCTTATCGGAAAGCACAAAACCAGAGGAAGATTAAACTAAAATATAAAAAAGCCGGGATCATATCTCAGCGGTAGGTGTGTCCTTAACATGTACAAGGCCCTGGGTTCAATCCCCAGCATCTACCAATAAACAAAGAAGTAAATAAATAAAACAAATTCAAGGATCTAAGGGCCAGGGAAGCCAATCATGACAAATGCAGGGTAGAATTAATGTCCACAATGAGGAGACCCTTTGCTATAGGAGAAATCCTTAACAATAGAAACATAAACAGAATCCCTATGAAAACCACAGCAGACTCTCCTCCACCCCTTAATCAGGCCTTTCAAAGCCAAATGCAGACAACAGAGATGTCCAAATTACCAGCCCCTCGGGTGAATTATGCCATAGGTCCTTATTTCATTAAACTACGATACTATGCCTGCCATTTCAGGGAAGCATTTAACATTAACCATGAACTTAACTCTTACTTTCTACAGAAATGAACACAGTGGTGTGCACCTGTAGTCCCAGCTACTCGAGAAGCTGAGGCAGAAGAACTGCTTGAGCCCAGGAGTTTGAGGCCAGCCTGGGCAATATATCAAGACCCTGTTTCAAATAAAAAAGGAGAAGAAATAGATAAAGAAAAATAGAGCACAAGGAAAGCAAAGGAAAGAAACAAATGTCTTCCTCCTCAAATCTGTCCTCTTGGTTTCATACAAGCTCAAAAGACAGAATGATCTATTGCCCCACGAATGTCAACGCCATTTATCTTGGTGTTAATTGAAGATTATTACTACCTCTGAAAGCGCAAATAATTTTAAATATAATTTGTTTCTGGACCAAGAATAAAGCTGAAAGTAGAACAAGAGTTGTCTACTCTTAGAATATAATCTCCAGGGAAAAAAGTAAAAGAAAATTTTCATGCCTTTTTTCATATTTCCTTTAATAATCTACTTTCTACTATCTGATTATAATTGGGTTGATAAACCACATTTTTTTCTGAAACTGATATTGACAACAGTATTTTGACTGTAAATTCCTTAGGATGAAGGACTATATCTATATTTGTGAATGTTTTATTACCTCACTCCCAAAACAGCCTAGCACAGTGCCTGAATCACTTGAGACCAATGTGCATTTTGTGAATGGAAGAAGACTAATTACCAAAGCAGAAAATGTGTCAACTGCATTCCAGGCACTGAGCACACTTATATATAACATAGTAGCTACTCTAAAGACAAACCAATTTGTCCTGAGATCCTCTTAAATGACAGTAGCTAAACAGAATTGGGCTTGGTCAATCTTTCATAGGAAGTTCCTGAAGAAAATATAAACAGTCCAACTTAGTATTTCACATATGGGGATAGTACAGAACAGAGGCAAAATAAACACTACTTCCTTGTAAACTAAAAAATGTGTATTAGTTTTTGTGAATTAGCAATAGCAAGATACAAGGGTAACTAGTTGATGTCCTTACATCTTTGGCTTTCTTCTAATATACTTTATTTTATTGCCCAAAATGAGGTATTTAAGAGTTGTTGAGGAGCTGGGTATGGTGGCGCACACCTGTAATCTCAGCACTCAGGAGGCTGAGGCAGGAGAATTGCTGTGAGTTCCAGACCAGCCTGGGCTACATAGTGAGTTCCAGATCAGTTTCAACTACATAGTGAGACCCTGTCTCAAAAAAGAAAAAAAAAACAAACAACAACAACAACAACAAAAAAAAGAGTTGCTGAGAACCAGGTTACCAAGATCCATCTGAGAGGTAGTAGTTCCTGACAACTACAGAAAATGAGTTCATGGGCAGTGCTGTGAGGTAAAAGGAAATGAAGCAGGGCTTTAATGCAACAGTACCAAAGGCTTCAGAAGACTAGTAAGTTGATGGTTAACCCCTCCCCCCATGCTCTAAAACAACACAATAAAACTTTGGGCTACGATGATTATAGCACTATATACAATAATGAAAATGGAAATAGCCTCCACCTACCAAACGATCCGCAGAAAACATGAAGTCCCCTCTACTGGCTGTCCTAAAAAAAAAACAGTACAAGTTTAAGTGTAAATTTGAGCTTTAAGGTAAAATATTGTTTAATATAGTAACATTGATATTAAGACCTATTACATATTAAAAGCTTAAATGCTTATGTGTACATACTATTACTGGGACAAGATAATTTTTACTAGGATACAGCTACCAAAGTGAGATGACCTGGTAAATATTATTGGAAATGTTTGCTTGATATCAACATTAGAGATAGGAACTGCAAAGATCATATAATCCCCCACTGAGTTGTTAGAGTACATATTATTCAACCAGGAGACAAACAAGTTCTCACAAACATGGAAGCAAGCTCACAGTTCAAATTGAGATGAAATTTTACAGTAAGAAAATAGGATTTGGGCCGGGAATTTGGCTCAGTGGTTCCACCGCCTGCCTTGCAAGTGCATGGAAAGGGGTTCAATCCAAACAAAAATCAGATTCTCCCCACGTTCACTTTCCCACTTAATCTACTTTGATCTAAACCCCACATTACAAAGATGAATAACCCAAAAATCTCTCATTCTATAAAATAAAAAAACGAGAAAATTATAATGGTAAAAATACATAAAGCTTTTTATGCTCTCAAGAATGTTTAACCTGGAGCCATGCCTGCTCCCGACCCAGCCACTATCGCTCAAGTGCTGGGAGGAAGCCTGGGTCCCGATCCACCTCGAGAAGGAGAGCCACACCTGCTCCCGATCTACCGCGGGAAGGAGAACCACGCCTGCTCCCGACCCAGCAGCCATCACTCAAGCGCCGGGAAGGTAGCCGCGTGGGCGCCCCTAAACCCCCATAACTGCCCCCCCCCACTCTCAGTCCTCCTGACTGTGCCAGTCTTTGGACCCACTCTGCAAAGACAGAGGTGGTCATCAAGGGTATTTTTCTGAGTTCCCAACTTTGAACAACTTTAAAGAAAGGGCGTGGAAAACCTGTAATAAAATGTTGCAGAGTTCAACTATTCAGAAGGATGGAAAACTCAATCTGGGCCTTGCAGCCCGAGGTCAGTCAGTGTCATGGGGTTCAGCCATCAGCTAACTGAGATCAGGGGTCTTGCATCCTTGCTCTGTCTGAGCCATTAAATATTAAATACACTATATTGAAATTTTGTTCACTGCAGACATGTTTTGGACTGCTTCTTGATTTCAATTTAATCAAATGATTTAAGGGTGATAGACTAGTGACTATCACAGGTGGTCAGTGCCCAAGTTGTGCTTGATCTTAATGTGTTGCTGATTGTATCAGTTGGGATAAAGCATTGCCATTGATTTGATGAGCTGTTTTCTCTGATGTTATGAAGATGAGAATGTCTGTGGGTCGTTAGAGACACAGAAGCTAGGGCGCAAAGATATCAGATTTGGGTGATAATCCAGAGATTAAACCAAGGACAGTCCGACAACAAAAATTAAAATGAGAAAACACTTAAGCAAGACACAAGGACAGACTTCCAGTTCAGCAATGGCAAAGAGTAGGGCAAATGAGGATGAAAGGCCGATAGTGAACCACCAGGACACCCTGAACTCAAAGCACAGGAAGTAACAAAACAGATCAATCAGGCTCTGGAAAAATTCAAAACAGAAATAATTTCCCAGATAACCAAAGAGATAGTGAGCAAAATGGAAGTCGTGATTCGAGACTCTAGAGCAGAAACTGACAAAAAAATAGATGAGATCAGGACCATGATAGAAGCCATGAAGGC